TTTTTTTCTGGTCCTGATGCCTGAACTCTGGGCTGTGTCCCTGAGCTGCTCTGTGTGCAAGGCTAGCGTTCTGCCCCTTGAGCTACAGCCAGTCACTTCCTTACAGGCGGCGTGAACCACCGGCCCTCAGGACCTACATTTTTAAAAGTACATTGCTAAATGTTTTAAATGTTCCAAAGATTTCTTTCCCATGGAGCAGTGATGGTGGCAGCATATGGCGTAATTGTTACTTCTTTACAGAAAAAAAATGTTATCTTTAAGTAGTTGTATAAAGGAGTTGCCATTCACCAAAGCAGTTTATGAATACAGTGCATCTTGATCCATGTCCCCCCTTTCAATGTTCTCACCTCCCCCAACACACCCCTCCCTGACGTAACTTTAGGTTATGTAGTGCATGTTTTGGTTGCTACTTCTCAGGTCAGGCGTGTGTCTTGCCTGAGCTGGGAGGCAGGAGGAGGCATGATGCTGAGAGCCGTTATTGTTGGTGGGGCTCCAGGCCGTGGTGGGGAGCTGGGCTGAAAGCCCCAGAGCCTTAGCCAGCCTGTTGTGCATATCTCCCAGCCCAGCATGGCTGGTGTGCTCGAATATATAGGGAAACAGAATTAAAGGGCCTATATGGTAAACGGAAGTCCTGAAACTCCCATCCATCAGTCCTAGGTGGCTAGCAAACCTAGAACATGTAGCTCCATATTTTCAAGTCATAAATGGGCCCCACCTGGCCCTGCTTTGGGTCATAAACCACCCTCAACCCACTGTCTATGGTTAGAATCTTAGCAATCTGATTAGGAGTTCCTAGGTAATGTGGTCAGATATCTACATAGGAATTCAAGGTGCAGTCCCCAGGTACATACCTGGGACCAGCACCTGGAGTCATCTTCACTCTTGTCTGCCTGGGAAGTGGGAAAAATATCTCTTCCCTTTCCCGTGTCTCCCTTCTTTACTGTTTACTTGCATAAATAGGTGGATATTACTAGACACTTACCCATGATGATCTCCTTCTGAGAGATCCCTCTACATGGAAACTGGGAAGCCAATAAGCCCACTCTACTGTTCCCCCTTTTCCCAGTAAGAGGTAGAGATAACTTTGTCTGGCACTTATATACCTGGCCCCTTCCTGCCAGGCCTCATTCCCGCCATGTGCTCTGAGCCTGGTGTTGCTGGCAGTAAAACTTCCAGCAGCGTCTACTTCTAACCCCTCCTAAGGGAGCTCTCTGCCTCAGCCCTTTCCTCCCGGAAAGGGGACTCTGCTTAGTCCCCCCACCCAGGTGCTCTCCACTCAATCAGAGAAGGGCCAGAGTGGTCCTAGGACTTCTGGTCACTCCAGCCTCCTCCCTCTGTGCTCAGAAGTTACCTTCACCCATGAAGTTTCCTGGTAGAGAATCATAAAAGCAGAAGGGCCAGACAGCAATCATATGGATCGCTGCCAGATGTGGGCTTTTAGTTTGTGTAAACACTATTCACCTTTGCAGAAAACTTGGTACCACCTGTGCTTGCTGTGGCCCCACCCCTGCTAAGCAGCCCAGGTCAGTGGAGGAATGAGGAGAGCCTGGGATCTGAACTCAGAGTCCTGTATCCTCTAGAGGTTGAGAACTGGAGTCAGTGCCCAGAGGGTGAAGTCAGGGGCCCAACAATGAAGTAAGAGTGGTGGGAGGGGGTCTAGGGTAATAACTGCTTTCACTGCTAGGCAGGTGCTCTACTAGTCAGCTATATCCCCTGCCTGGCCTTAATGTCTTTGCCCTCCATGGGAAGAGATGCTAGGCAGGTCCTCTGGGGGATGCATGGAACTCTGCATTCTTTCCCATTTTGCTCCAGTGTGTGAACTCCCCGGCCCTCTCTCCATCTTCCCAGAGCAGCAAGATGCATTTGGGCACACAGGTGTGGAAGACCCAGGTGGACAGAGGCAATTTGTTCTGCAGAAACAAAGGGTGAAATGTGAAGGTGTGAGTTGTGTGAGGACTGGAAGAGTTGGGAGTGATAGGAGATGGGGAGCCCTTCCCCAGGGGCTCTCTGAACAGTTTCCAGACCGTTTCCCACTCCGGCCCAGGGCACCCCTGCTCTGCTGTGTGCCCAGTGAACCATACCTCTCACTCCAGTACCGTCTTCTAGGACCTCTGTAGGAATGGATTCTGTAGAGAGTCCCTGACAGGTCCCCCACAGGGACTCCTAGGGGCCATCAGATGTGTGGACATGTGCAATTCTGGTGACCCACCTGGGCTTTGGGGAGTGAGAGTCAGCAGGCTCAGGTTGCTGCCCTGCTTGGAAAAATACTGGTGCTCTGAAAGCTTCTAGATTCTGCAGTCACAGTGATGTGCTATGGCCTCTCTACATTTTTGTCCCCAGGTGGAAGCTCAGTTCAAAGGCAAAACTCGAGACCACAGACTTCACTTGAGGAGAAAGAGAGATCCTTTGAGAAATTAGAATGGAAATACTAAGAAGAGGCTGTGAGAAAGGAGAAAAAGAGGAAGGAAATGAGGAACACCAGGGTGTAGGAGGGGACAGCCATGGATGTAGATCTGGGACAGCAATTCTGAGGTTGGCAGCAGAACCTCATGAGACCCAGGACAACAGACAGAGCAGAATCACTCACTCCATTTTTATTTGAAGCATGGCTGGTGGGGAACAGGTTACACATCCACCACCATGTGTTCACTTCCTAAGGTTATTAACAAAGTACATATAGATTATTAGGTGGTTTAGAACACAAATGTGTTCCTTCGTAGTCAGAGGCTGAAAGTCTCTTTGGCATGTGGTACTGTAACTCGTCTTCCTGTGTCCAAGTCTCCCCTTGGAGAGGGGAGCGGGGTCACCCGAATGCAATATGACTTCATCTTATTTCATTTATTTTTTGATGATATAGGGATTGAGCTCTGGGTTTCACATTTGCTTGGCAGGGGCTAGTGCTACCATTTGAGCCATGTCTCCAGCCCCTTATTGCTTTGGTTATTTTCAAGGCCCCAGGGCTGGTCTTAATGGTTACCCTTCTACTTGTGCTTTCCTGTGTTGTTGGCCACCTGCCACTGGATTCCGTCACTGTATGTCCCCTGTAGCTGGAATAACAGCCCTGTTCCACTGTGCTTTGCCATTGAATGAGATGGAGTTTTGAACTCTTATGCCTGGGCTGGTCTTGAGCCATGATCCCCTAATCTCTGCTGCCCAAATAGCAAGAGTTATAGACTTGAGCCCCTGTGCCCAGCTACATCATCATCTCAATTATATCCATAAGGACCCGATTTCAAATAGAGTCATATTCCAAGGTGCTAGAGGGGGTGTGGATGTCAACAAATCAATCTGAGGGGAGCTGACAGGTGGGCAGTGACTGCAGTCACACGATGGGAGGAAGCCCCTGGACCCTGCATTGCAGGCACTGAAATCCAAATTATGACACCTACTAAAATATGCTGATAACTAACATTCAGGCTGGAAACTCCAAAATTGTGATACCCCAGGAGCCATGCCTCGGCTGGCCATTTAGTTAACAGAACAAAATGAAAATCCACCATAAACCATGAGAAAGAAATTCAGCCAAGGCCCAAATTGAGGCAGATGTTTATGAGTTCCTTTGGGGCAGGTGAGTAGCAGGAGTGCCATGGTGACAGCAGATGCCTGAGGCCTTCCTACACACAGGGCCTTCCTCAGATACTGGTGACAGTTGCCATCCCAGACACCACGGCAGGAGGCAGGAGGCAGGGCAGCAGCTGGATGGAAGCATGAATGGCATTTCAGGCTGTGCCTAGGCAGCCCCCTTGCCAGGAATCTAGGCCTGCAGGAGTCAGGGCAGGGGCAAAGGGCTGTCACAGAATGGGATGGCTCTCAGGAGTCCAAAACCTGATTTCTGGATCTTGCCTGGCCACCATGTCCTTATACTTGTCCTCAATAGTGTCATGTTTTATGAATATAGCAGTGATACCCACTGAGTAAAAACTTGTCCTCCGTTTTTTTTTTTTTTGTTGTTGTTGTTGTGGGGCTTGAACTCTGGGACTGGGTGCTGTCCATGAACTCTTAAGCTCAAGGCAAGTGCTCTATCACTTAAGCCACAGTGCCACTTTCTGGTTTTCTGGTGGTTAATTGGAGATAAGAGTCTTATGGACTTTCCTGGCCAGGCTTGGCTTTGAACCACAATCCTCAGATCTCAGCCTCCTGAGTAGCTAGGATGACAGGTGTGAGCCACCAGCACTCAGCTTGTCCTCCTTTTTAAAATACAGAAATGCATGGATACCAAGAGGTTAGAGGCCCAGGGGCCTGCCTAAGTGTGTTCAGGCCACAACAGAGCCCCAAACATCAAAGCTTTAACAATGGTAATGTGTTGTTTCAGCTTCAACCCTCAAAACTCCAAGATTGAAGCCAAACACTAGTATCTCACATTTGTCCTCTGCCAAGCTGGGCCTTGGAAGGGTGTATCTCCAGGAGTCTGAGATACTTGCTTGGTAGCTATGCTCCTGACAGTGGACTCTATGGCTACAGCACAGTACCTCTGTCTGCCCAATCCATGCCTGGCACAGAAGAGGGGCAGATGCCAGAAGGCAATGGTGTAGAGTGAAATGAAGGAATGAACCTATGGCTCAGACAGTTCAAGAACATGTGTGGGCTGGCCAGGGATGCCAGTTGGCCAAGACCTGCATATCCCTGAGGTGGCTCTGTGGAGACTGGACACAATTATCCAGTCATTGCTGCAGAGCCACTGGGCCCCCGGGAACCTGAGCATCATGCTGCCCATGTCTGGACAAGCATACTGATTTCCATGACCCTTTCTTTCCAGCTTACATTGCTGCCTTCCTTACATAGTTCCCAACTGTTTCTGATCTCCTGATTATCATACTGCACTAGATAAAGATCTAGGAAAATGGCATCATGTGTTACCTAGCAATAACTTGTTGGTTTGCAACAAACCCTACCTATCCATTTATCCCCACTGCTGGACATACAGGGCTAAGATAACTTGGCTATTCCAGTTCCATTTATCTATACAAAAACAGATTTATTGAGGATAATATAACACTCGCTTAGCTTAGTTCTTTTGGTATGCAGCCTTCGATCTGGACCTCTGCCGGCCAGCCAGAATATCTATTCTTCGAATTATCAGAGTGGTTGATCTGTGCAAAGAGAAAAGAGTTTCACTCATTCATGAAGCTATTAAACAAATATTTACTTCAAGGAAAGTCATATGTCTAGAACCAATTACTAGAATGGGATTTGTTCCAAACCAAGCTGGGTGGTAGGTATTGTTTCAATGTGTTTCTTAAGGATATTGGAATACAGGTCTAGAATTTTCTCCACAGACGGCGACGATCTTCAGCCAACATTGTTCAGTAGAGTGGCCAATCACCCCAGCAGGCTAACTGTGGAAGGTGGCTAGAGCAGCTACGAACTGGATTCTAAATTTTATTCAATTGCGATCTATTTGAAGGCAAGTGGGAATCGGCTTTGTGCTGTACAGCATAGCTCTACAATAGTATCTGTATTGGAAATAAGACTGTAGATTTGTATTTTTCAGAGTGCTTTAAAGCTCCTAGCTTAGCAATTATGTTTATACCAGAGTCCTTACTACTTTTCACTGCAGCAATGACACAAAGGCTGCGTTAACTTGGTGTTTATTCAGTGTTCTTTGTTTGAGATGTGTGCTACCTGAGATTTGCTTCCTGTGCCCCAAGCAGGGACAGAGGAAGGCTAACCACCTGCTAAGCAGAGAGGGGTGTGGCTGAAGATGGGGGAAACTGAGTCTGACAGCCCTGTCAGCATCTTCCACTTTCAAAGTGATGTGAGAAGTCTGACAATCCAGGGAAGGTTGAACATGGATCTGACATCCAGGCGTCCAGAGTCTTCGCTTACAGATCAGAATGACAGCCACATGAGACTTCTGCAAATTGTCATAATGTGGAAGCCCACTTACCTTCTCCCTCTGAATTCCTGGAGGGAGCTCAAAGCCTATGGGTGCAAGGAACACCCAGCTGGACCGGAAGCGCAGGTTCCTGATCTCCTTGCTCCCGAGGGCTTCAATGGCATCCTTGGCCTTGGCCTGAAGTCTGGGGGCAATGAAGGAGACCGTGTGAGACTGTAGCTGTAAATCCAGACACCAGGTGTGTCAGGCACTCAATTCCTTCTAGTGAGTACATGTGTGTGCATGTGTGTGTGTGGGGGGGAGGAAGCCATGCATCTATGTGTATGGGGCACACATGTGTGTACACAAGTTTTTCATGCTTCCCTTGCTCCTTCTACAGAGAAACAACCTCCATTTCTTTGCTTTCTTCTCTAAATACACACTGGACAACTTCCTATTTTGAGTCCAGGTGTGGCTTTGTTTGGCTCTGTCAAGGATTTCTTTGGTTCTAGAAGGATTGTGCTGTAGTACATAGGTGCAGTGATTTTGTTTTCATGAAGCGGTCTATTTTGCTAAAATCTTTCATTCTGTTTCTTTTGGGCCTCCATCTTCCCCAGAGGACACAGGACTCCTGTCTTGGCCCATGCTCAGCCGTCCCTGTGTAACCTGCACACACTCACAGGAGCTGCCCTGTGTCAGCCGCACACACTCACAGGAGCTGCCCCAGCTGCCCTGTGTCAGCCGCACACACTCACAGGAGCTGCCCCTGTGTCAGCCACACACACTCACAGGAGCTGTCCCTGTGTCAGCCACACACACTCACAGGAGCTGCCCCTATGTCAGCTGCACACACTCACAGGAGCTGTCCTGTGTCAGCCGCACACACTCACAGGAGCTGTCC